ATAGTAGACCCATGGGGTTTGTATCTAGAAATAACATGTTTGCTGTTCAGTGATCTAATCAGCTCTATCTAACTCTAGGTAGCTCTGATATAAGGCGGGCCTAGACTGAGTGTCTTTTGGTCTCCCTCATATCCATTATACTTAGGTCATATTATGTAATACTAATTTAATACTAACTTAATTTTAAGCTTAATTAATATAGCTGCTTTCAGAAATTTCTAATTTAGTATTGTTTCTGAAGAAAACTTGTCTCCCAATCATTTCCGAGTTCAAGTTACTGATACCCCTCAAAAAGTCTCCAAAGTGTCAAAAAAACGAATCATCACATGTGGTGGTTGGCTCACCTAGACGTCTGCTGACCACCTGAGCACAACGGCTTTGCTTGTATCATTCAGTATCGAATATATTTGCTGTGCCTGATTGACTCATGAATTTCAAATGTAATTATCTATAGATATTTACCAAAACTCTGAAAACAGAAGAACGCCCTACACCAAATGAGTGGCCCAGAAAACAAGCATGTAAACAGAATCCTAATTATAGAAGACACAAATGTGAGCTGGCTTATTGAGTTGCAGTATCATCCACTTGAGATTTTAGGTAGCATAGAAAACAGATAAAAGATCAGAGAATGGCAGACGTACTTAGAAGAGTCGTAGAAACAAACAACCAAGAATAAGGCTCTGTGAGAGAGATGCACGCCCTACTCTGCAAACAGTTGTTCAGAACTCTGCCATTCCCAGTGTGCTTCCAAAGAGTCCACGTAACCGGAGGCTTTTCTGTCTGCCCGGCCCCACAGTCATTTCTAAATAATCACTCAGAGACTTAATACTAGTTATAAATGTTTGGCTGGTAGCTCAGGCTCATTAATAGCCAGCTCTTACATTTAAATTCACCCATTTCTATTAATCTGTGTGTCACCATGTGGCCCATGGCTTACCTGTGGTGTTCTGGAATGCTGCCCTTTGGGCAGCTCCTGACATCACTCAAACTCTGTATCTCTGCTTGAATTTCCTGACTGACTCTATCCTGCCTTGCTATATGCCAAAGCAGATTCATTTATCAACAAATGAGAACAACACATACTCACAGTGTACAGAAAGACATCCCACATCAAGTCATTGGACAGGGGTGAGGGTCACAGAGAGTATTAGATTGTGGAGAACTTGAGTCTCAAGCCCCAGTAGAAGGATTATTGAGTGACATGCTGGTGGTCACTACAATTGATTTTACTTTTTCCTTTTATCATTATTTCATTCTGTGTTCTCTATCAAAAGGTAAAGATCAACTTTAAGTGGAGCATAATGGCAAACTTGTGAAATTAAAACATTTTAGCTCCAGTGAAAAGTCTGTTTTCTCCTAATCTTGCGTAGTTCCTAAAGATCTTCACTCACAGCATACTGAGGATTAAAAAGCTGAGGTGGCCAAGTTTCATTTTGTACGAAGAGCGTGGTTTATGGACTCCAGATCATCAACATGTCCCGTTCGGTGCTTTGACAATACATTGTACACAGTGGAGTCAACTGACTGACTTCTACCTATTAACATTTACTAAACCCATAATAATGAATTACACGACTGAAGAAGTAATCACTAATTTAACCCAAGAAAGAACAAGAAACTTCAGCAACAGAAGAAAAAAAAAGGTATACTTGCAAGCAATGAAAAATTAGCCTGACTGAAAATGAGATAGGGAAAAAAAAAAAGAGATGGCAGCATTTTGTAAACGCCCATGGTGTCATGCAGGTGAAGCATTACTGCATTTTCAGGAGAGACACTCACCAAGTCCAAAATGGCTTTCTTGGAAAGAAATGTATGTGCTCATCCAGAGAGACCCACCTAAAAGCCCAGAAAATGGAAAAGGTAATTTTCGTTGAAGGAAAAGGATTTGAGTGCCTGAGTCCAGAGAAAAGGAAACTTTAAGTCCGACATCTCAGTTACTTATTCCCTGCTACAGGCAGGGCTGTCAAACACCCTCGAAACAGGAGCAAGCTGGGGTGCACAGACAGCCCACTTACAAACGCCTCTGAAGGAATCGAACCTGCAACAGAGCAGTCGCCCCTCACAGAGAACCGCTTCAAGCAGCTTATTCGGCAGTGCCTCGGGGTGGACATGCCAGTCAGCACGTGGCTTACCCTCGCCACCCGAAGAAGGGAACCCAGGGGACCACGAGGACACTTGCTCGTGTGCAGAATCCCACCCACGGTTACGTCCAAGGCGAGAGGAGTAACTCATCCCCATACGAGCCTGGTGGACACGGCTCAGCTTCCTCGTCCCATGTTTTGGAACCTTGAAAGTAATGTCAGTGGTCACACTCCTGAAACCGGTGGGACTCCACCAGAGCTGGGAAGTTTCTGTAGCCTTTGGCATGGTTTCATCACCTGAAGACACACAGAAACCACTACAGAAGAAAACAAAGTTTAACTGTCTTCCTTTGTGCGGTAACCATTTCCTATTCCCTCAAAATATTTCCCAGCAGTTTTGTTTTAGTTTCTTCCTGTGAAGTTTACCAGCATGTGACGTTACGTTTTTATATGGAACGCAGGTGTCCCCTTCTCCCACGGTTCCATTAGAGAAATACGAAGGAGCCAAACACTTCAAAACACGACTTTTGCCTTTTTATTATTTGTTTAGCAAAAAAAAAAAAGTGTATTTACCTCATAGTATTAACTCAATAGCCACAGGAAGCTAATGTATTGTGGGTCATCGGCTTCCCTTTCTGAGGACTGAGGGAGAAGAAATACACCAGGACAGCATCTCTGTACTGGGCTGCGGCGTGCACTAGGTCTTTTTGAGGTGTCACGCAGCAAAGCTTCCCTGTCATTACTAAGGGGAGCGATCTTGTCCCTGGTCCTCTGGCTCTTACAACCTTTCTCGCCTCATCTGTGATGCTCCCTGAGACCTAGGTAGAGGAACCCTGTTGGAGTGGCTCCCTTGGGCCTTTGCCGTCACATGATCACTTGTTCTCCAGGTAGCAGGGACGATTTTGCTCCTGTTGTGCTAGCCTTAAGTCCAATTGGAGAGCTGTTGGTTAGCGCCAAGATACGCAGGCCGCTATTGCACCCGTAGGGAAACCATGCCTTGCTGGTCACAGTTGTGGTCCTAAGGCTTCACAGCTGTGTAGGACTGTTGGTTCTCTCGCCCCCAAAAAAGGTTGCATAGAACCTTCTAGACCTATAAAAGTTGCCCCCAGGGAGAAGACTTTCAAGTCAGGTGCGTCAGAGTCCTGTGTCCAGAGTTCATGGCGCCTTCAGCAACAGGGACTTAACTTGGATCTATGAAAGTGACCCAGGGTGACAGCAATAGTCAATCAGGACAACACCCCAGGGTTAGCTCTCTATTCAGGTGACTCTTATTTGTGGCAAGTTGACATTAAAACCAACCTCAAACGCATTAGCACTAATTTGTACAAAGGCCTCTAGCAGTTGTCTTAGAGTTATTTTCTTAGAGCTTTATCCCATCCGTCCTTCCTGTTACTGTGATGAACATTTTTCTATTTTACCCATTCTTTCAAATTGTCTATTTTATTTTATTCCAAAGGACAATTTTTTCTCTGTGGCTTTGGAGGCTGTCCTGGAACTCGCTCTTGTAGACCAGGTTGGCCTCCAACTCACAGAGATCCACCTGCCTCTGCCTCCCGAGTGCTGGGATTAAAGGCATGCGCCACTACCGCCAGGCAAGAACAATTTTTGTATGGGTCAGTTTCATATGTTTTATTGCATAGTCTATTACTCCATTTTACTTAATATTTTTTTTATTTTTTACAAACATGAAAAATTCTCCCTACATTTTACTTGTTCATATTCTTATGGTCCATCTGAAAGCCACTTGTGTACGTGTGGATGGTATATGGGATTGTGTGGGTGTGTGCATGTGTTCAAGGCATGAAAGTAAAAATAGGAGAAAGAAAGAAAGAAGGAAGGAAGGAAAGAAAAGATAGAAGGAAAACTGAGCTAAAACTGGAAATGAAAAACTTAGGAAGTAAAAAAAACCAAGCCTCAGAGGGAAACCTCACCAAAAGAGTGTAAGACACATTTTTTAAAAAGTGTCACACATGTTGAAGACAAGATAGAAAAAATGGGTACCACATCAAAGAAAATGTTCTATCTGTACAAATCCAAGTACAAAAAATGTCCAGAAAATGCTGGACACTGTGAAAGACCAAAACTATAAACAATAGGAATAGAAGGGCACAAAACTGAGGGCAAATGTGCAGAAATTATCTTCAACAAAATCATAGAAGAAAATTTCCCTAACCTAGAGAAGAAGATGCCTTTCAAGGTACAAGAACATACAGAGTACCAAATAAACAGAACCCCCCCAAAAAAGAAATTACCCAAAACACACAATAATCAAAACACTAAAGGTGCACATCAGAGTATTAAAAGCCACAAGGGAAAAAGACCAAGGAACACACGGAGGCAGATCCATTAGAAGACTCCAAAAGCCAGAAGAACCTGGACAGGTGTTCTACAAACTCTGAGTCAGAGGACATCGGACCTCTCTGACAGCTCTTTGTGGAAAACAGTGCTACATTCATCTAATCCACTTCCCTTCCCAGAAAGAGCACTCAAGTCAGAAGTACCTGTACTATTCCTGAAACACCTACACTTACCAGGCTTCTCTGCCATCTTTTGTTGGTTTGTTTTCTGAAAAGAAGGGGTAACTGTGACTTTGTGACTTCAGTGGTATGTACCTACTACACATCTGTCAGGACTTCTCATCGCTTCCACATTCGGTGGTTGAAATGGTTTTGCTTGGGTTGTTTTGTTTGTTTGTTTGTTTTTAACCAGGGTTTCTTAAGTTTATTTAGTTTTGCTTATACTAAAAGTTTCAAGGGTCTCATTTTATGCTGTCACCTAGAGCTCACCTCTCATCATTAAAATAGTCATCAGGGATAGAACTCTAAAGTCCGGACACTCAATGATGAGTCACTGCTACCCACTGAATGTGAGAATTCCACCTTTACTGCTACTGGAAGGAAAAGTTTGTGGACTTACCTGGGCTATCATTAATGCACTTTGGATTCGTGGATCTTGCTCATAATCCCTTATATTTTGCAGGATTTTCCATATCAAGTTTCTAAGTCCATCCTGTTCCTCATCACCCTGAAGTTCCCATGACATCTTCACCATGTTATATACTATGCCATAATATCCTATCCAGACCACATCAGCACCTGCAAAAATGAGGAGGAAAACGATAATTCTGTGAGAATACACTGTCTTATAGCTGAATGATTCTATTTTATTCACATTGATAATAATTAATGCTAATTAATGTGGAGAAATTGAAATTTAGAACACAAAAGCCAAAAAATGGTTAGAAATTTAACTATATTAAGTTCCACTCTCAAGATTATCCTTACAAAGTGAGAAGTAATTTCAATTTATTCTTACATTACTCTTTTCACATTGTTACGCTACATTTCTATGTGGTGATGGTTAACATAGATAAATTCTGACTTAGGGAGAGACAGGAAAACTAATAATAATAATACATTGCTTAGAAGGGAGATAAACTAAATTTAGTAGAAGAACAAATATGGAAATACTAAGTCTAGTGAAGAACTTAAATTCTCAAAAGAAAAAGAATAAGCTTTCACAAAAATTATGGAAGTTTTTAAAACCCCAAAACTTCAATGAGAATGATTATTATTTTTAAAAAGTAAGGGTTGGGTCGGGCAGTGGTGGCGCATGCCTTTAATCCCAGCACTCGGGAGGCAGAGGCAGGCGGATCACTGTGAGTTCGAGGCTGGGCTGGACTGACATGCCTCCAAATATAGAGAAACCCTGTCAAGTAAAAGTTTCCCAGTACTAGTCCCGCCCCCTTCCATGGGAAGAGGAGAGCCATAGGAATATTGGACCTGCTTGCACCCACTGGAAGGGAACCTTGGTCCCCTACCCACCAGGAGAGAAAGACACTCCTCCTGCACCCACTGAAAAAAGGCATGGGAAGAAGACAATATAAAAACTCATTCAACAACAGAAAAACCAATATAACAGCACCAGAGTCTAGGGACTCTACACCAGCAAGACCTGAACAGCCCAACGTAGATGAAGCATAAGAGAATGACCTTAAAAACAACTTCACGAAAATAATAGAGGCCCTCACAAAGGATATGAGAAAATCCCTTGTAGAAATGGAAGGAAAAGCAAACCAAAACATACAAAAAACTCAACAAACCTCTTAGAAAAAGACAAGAAAAAACAATCAAACAGATGAAAGGAACAATTCATGACCTGAAAACTGAAATAGAGACAATAAAGAAAACACAAACGGAGGGAATGTTGGAAGTAGAAAAGCTGAATAAAGGATTAGGAACTGCCAATGCAAGCATAACCAACAGAATAAAAGACATGGAAGAGAGAATATCAGGTGTTGAAGATACACTAGGAGAAATAGATTCATCCACCAAAAAAAAAAAAATCTTAAGTCCAACAAATCCTTAACACAAAATATCCAGGAAATATGGGACACCATGAAAAGACCAAATCTAAGAATAATAGGTATAGAAGAAGGTGAAGAAACCCACCTCAAAGGGCCAGAAAACATATTCAGCAAAGACTGATAGCTGGGAAACCAGCATAGGACTGACCCAGTCCCCTGATCGTGGGTGTCAGTTTGGAGGTTTGGTTAATATATGGGACCTCTGGTAGTGGATCAATATTTATTCTTAGTACACGAATGAACTTTGGGAACCCAATCCACATAGAGGGATACTCAGCTTAGACACATGGGGGAGGGTATAGTCTCTGCTCCAAATGATATGACAAACTTTGAAGATCCCCCATGGAAGGCCTCTCTCTCCCTGGGGAGTAGAAAGGGATGGGATAGGGGTCACTGGAGGACAAGGGAGGAGAGGAGGGAGAGTGAACTGGGATTGACATGTAAAAGAAACTTGTTTCTAATTTAAATTTAAAAAAGGAAAAAAAAGTAAGGTATAATTGCCTTTAATTTCAGCACTCAGGAGACAGAAGCAGGCAGAATCTCTGTGAGTTCAAGGCCAGTCTGGTCTACAGAGTGAGCTCCAGGACAGTCAGGGATACATAGTGAAATTCTGCCTCAAAATAAAGAATAATTATTATTTTAATTGGCATACACCAGAGTGCCAACTAGGTCTGGATTCTAATCTGCACTATAATTCCGTCACGTAGATTTTACTATATTTAGCACATAAAAGAAAATGTGTGACGTCAACTTGTTTAGAAGGTTCCCTACTGTCACACAGCTGATGAACAATAAAATAGGTGCGGCCCTATCTAGTTATGCCATGCAATACTTGCCCCATTCCAGACAAGGACTTTTCTTTCTACTGCATACAGTTCATTCACAGGGAATGAAGTACGAAAAGTAAGGGGAAGACTAGGAGCTGAAAAGACAAAGTGTGTACACATTTCAGAAATTTGAAACCGAAGTTGACGAAAGGAACCTTCCTGAAGGTCCTTCACTCTCTAGCCCGCCGGTGCGTAGGTAAGAAAGAGAGACTCGAAAACAGGAGGCTGTAGTTAACAAGGCATTCACAGAGCGTCTCCCTTTGTCAACTAAATTATGTACAATTAAGGGATTGCGGTGCTCAAAATTCTGTAAGTGGGGGGGAAAAAAAAGGTCTGTTAATGGTTAGTAATGTTTCCCACGACAAAAACAGAACATAATGGAGAAATACAAATTTAATTACATGTTTTCTTTCTTGGGAGATTGGAGTTCGGCTTCCTGTGCGCTGTCTTTTATGCCTTCCCCAGTAACGCCCCTAGCCATGCCCAAAAGTGGGCTTGGCTAGTGACGTAGTTCTGCCTACATACGTATACGTCTTTATGTCCAGCCGTATACGTCTTTAGTCCTGCCTAAAGTGGGTGTGGTTAGCGGTGTGGTAAACCGCCCTTTTATTACCTCATCTGTATGCGCCTCTAGTAAGTCACATGTTTCATGGCGGCATAGACTTCCTCCTACAGGAGATAAACAACCAGTGGCCCCGAGCAGTGAGCCCGTCTGGGGAGTGACAATGACTTACATGAGAATTCGGAGAGGAACAAATCCTTGAAGATCTGGTGTACGGGGACTGCCAGAGGAACAGTCTCGGCGGCGAGGGCTGGCAGAGGAAGGAAGGGAGCTGGAGAAGGCAAGGCCTCCCATGACCTTGTCAAGTAGGGGCATTTGGAGAAAGGATAGAGAAGGATGTTGGAGAATGCTCCCTGTAGGAAGATGACTGACAAAAAGTCAGCACTGCAAGCGAATGTTACGCCAGACTCCTGCCTGCCTTTGCAGTTCTGTTTCTGCAGACTGAGCTGCCATTACTAATCCATGGCGTGTCGCTTACCCCTGTGTAAGTCCCACACTGGAGAGCCAGGCCACCATGGCCCTGCCACTTTAGCACAGCATTTTGAAGAACATCCATCGCCCCTCACTCACGCCCATCCCACTTGCAAATACACTACGAAAGGAAAAGTGAACCCAAATGCTGGGGTTCTTGAGTGAATACTTAATTCCGTCTCCTAAGGGTAATGTAAACTGCTCCCTTCATTTAACCGCAAGTCCGTCCACCCAGCAGTCCTACACCTTGGCTGCCGCCTGTCCGCTGCTCTGCTCACTTTCTGTTAAGAAACCCTCTGAATCCTCATGGCTGGTCTCTTGTCTTGCCCTTGCAAAATTATGTTTATAACATGTCGGAACCGTGCGTGTCATCCATACTTCTAGGAAGGCGGCAATTATTTGATTATTGGATTCACTCTGACACGCACAGCACTTAGCGTCACGACAAGGGGTGGAAACTGCCTCCATTTGTCTAGAATTAAGGTGCTTTTTAGAACACAGTGCTTTTGAGGCCAAAATTGGAACTGCGTTACAGAGAATTAGGTTAATTAAATTGATAATAGGACTCCTGGGGAGCCGGAGTTATAGAGAGAGAGAAGAGGGATGACAGAGGATTTCACACAGGGCTGCAGCAGAGAGTTCATATCCACACAGATGCTGTAGAGTAGCTAACAGCAAACGGTGTCCTATGCCATTCGTGGGTGACATTTCAGCAAAGGAGTTACTCCACGTCAGTCGGCGAGCTGGGTAGACTGGACAGGAGTTGTATGAGATAACCCGGGTCCTGGCTGCGGTAGGCAGGAGATTGGAGAGAAAGGAACCGACACTGCACATCCTCATCGGGGAAGGCACCTAATGAAGTCTTAGCTTTGAGCGGAGAGAGCAAAGGTCAAAGGTCAAAGGAGAGGCTCATTTCTAAACTTAGGAGGCAGAAGCAATAATGACATCACTTGCAAAAAAGAAATGACACTGTTGTTTGGGAGATGAGGTGAAGAGTATTAGGGAAATGTGGAAGGGATAAAGAAGGAATCTGCCTTCCACTGGCACACAGCTCTTAAAACGTGGCTGAGGGAAATGCAGGCAGACAGACATGGGTGGTGCTGCTTCCCACGCCAGAGAAAGAGAACGCGGGAATGCCTACAGGCAAGGGGACTTTGAGAGCATGGGTTTTGGTTTGTATTACATTTTTAATTTATTTATTGTTTGTGTGTGTGTGTGTGTGATTTTATGAATCTATATAAAATCTAGGAAGAGCAAATAAAGGGTCATAGGTCGTCTTTGACTTTCTCAGGGTGACTTAACTCATTTAACACAATCACCTACAGTTGCATCCATTTCCCTGTAAACAGTTATAATGGAAAGGTTTCTACGCTTTCTATATATGTACCCTTTTTCTTTGTCCATCCTTCTGCTGATGAGCATCTAGGTTGGTTGTGAAGTCAGCTACTGTGAGCAATGTTGTGGTGGACACACACCCCAGTATGGTCTATGCACCATCACTTGGAGTTCTTCAGATAAACACCCAGGAGTGGTTTAACTGCGTCACACGCTAAATCTGTTTCAGCTTTGGGGAACCTCTACATGGATTTCCTTGTGACTGGAGCATTTACAGTCCCACCAGCAGTCTATAAAGACTCTCTCCTCTTGTTTTCCTGACTGGCTACCTTTCTTACTGGGCGAGAAAACTCCCGCAAAGCTTGACATTGCATCTCTTTGGTGGCTGAACATCAGACTTCGTTTGCGCTGCTTTTTTCAATCCATAGGATTTGCTGCCTTGTTTGATTTCTTGTGTCGGCTTTCGAGAGACGTGTGACTGCTTCATTCTTCCATTCCCCCTGCAGTATCTCTACATCCTTCACCCTGAGTCTGAACGACTTGGAGTGTACAAACAGACCCCACTGTTGTTGTTTTCAATCCTGCCTGCTAGTCTGTGCCTTTTGATTGAGGGAAGGGGGCGGGGGGGGGGGAGGGTCACTGATGTTTAGAGTTATTGAAGGATGTGCACCCATTTGGCTTGGCGTTTCTCTGTTTCTCACTTATTAACTGTTCTTCGATCTTTAAAGGGGGTTTACACTTTCTTATTACCCCATAAACGTGCTTAGCTTTCTTTTTAGTCCAAAGGATTTCTTCAACGTCTTCTGTAAAACTGGCTTACTATGAAATCTCTTCGTCATCCTTCAATGACCACAGCTTTGCCACATAGAGTAGTCTGGACTGGTATGTATTGTCTTTCAGAGACTGAAATACAATATTTTAAGTCCTTCTGGCTTTAAAGTTCCTGTTAAGATATCTGTTGCTATTCTGATAGGCTTGCCTTTATGATCTGGTGTTTCTCTTACAACTGTCAATATCCGTTTTTGTAGTATCTATTTAGTGCTTTAACTGTAGCATGCCATGGATAGGTTCTAGTCTCATCTTGTCTGTTGGGACACTAAATGACTCTTGTACCTGCGTGTATATCTCCTTGTATAGACTTGAGGAATCTTCTCTATGGCTTTTTAAAAAGTGTTTTCTATGTCTTCTACATGAAATTCTTTTCCTATTTCTATGTCCATAATTCATAGACTTGGTTTGATCATAGGGCCCTGCAAATCGCCTATGTTCTGTGTGTGCTTTCTTATTAATCTAACTTTGCCGTTATCTGAACATTCATCTCTCTTGTCAAGGCCTGTAATATGTCTCCCTTTGATCCATTTTGTTTCAGAAGCTTTCTGCAGAGCTTTTCATTCGACATCCTCTACTTTTTATTTCCAGTCGCTCATGTTGACTTCTTTTCAATATTTCTTTATCATTACTAAATTCAGCTTTTATATCTATTTCTTCTTTTCATTCTGTTGTTTATGTTCCCTTGGAATCCATTCAAGTGTGTATTTGTGGCTTCTTAGATTTATTTGAACAAACTTAGAATGATTGTTTTTACATCCTTGCCTGGGGCACCAACTAATTTACTCTCATTAGGGGAGACTTCTGTGAGTCTTGGAGGAATCACATTGCTTTAGTTTTTCATGTTCCTTGTGTGTGTACATTGGCATTTACACATATGGAGTTGGATTATTGGCTGGATATGTCTTTTAATTGCCCTCATCCACTCAGTGGAAGTGCTCGCCATGCTCAATATGTTTAGGAGGTACTTGGTTAGGGTAGAACTAGGTTTTCATTTTTCTTTGCTAAACTTGGATCTAATTTTCTAGTTAGACCCTCAGCACCAGTATATTCAGTACCAATATTCCCAGGAGAGAAGAATCATTTCTAACAGAACAACAATCAAAGGAGAGTGCCACTACTAAAATGCAGTGGCCATCAAATAAAAAGCTGATGGCCTCTGTATATTGGTTAGGGCTGGGATGGCAGAGAAATGCAGAAAAGAGGGAGATGAGTGGACACAGAAAATGGGGCTGAAGAGGTTAAAGTTCACGACCAAACTGGGACACAGCAGGGATGGGAGAGGGGGAAGTGGTGACCCTCACTAATGGGGAGTAAAAGGAGCTGAAGAAAAACATACAATCTGATTACCTACAACAATCCCAGCTTTCGGGAGCCAGAGACACAGAAGACCCCAGAGCAGTCATTCTATGTTCCTTGGGAAAGCCTAGCATCATCATCACCATCATCACCATCATCATGTAAAGAAAGGAACAGAGAAGAGAAAGGAAAGAGAGAATAAAAATATATAGGTGTCCTGCTAAACTTGACATTGGTCACTAAATAAAAGAGAAATAAAAGAGAGAGGACGAGAGAAGAGTGTGGTCTCTTGCCCACTGGGGAGTCCAGATTCTCAGCGTCCTTCCTGGACTTCCAGATGCTGCTACATCTGTGGGAGGTCAGAACACAGATGCTGACTGGGCTCCTCCGTGAGAGGTTCTCCACGGGGTGGGCTGGGAATGCTGATCCCTCCCCCTGGAGGTTCTCAACGTCTACCATGTGTGATTGGAGGCTGCATCTCCATCCTCCTGCACTCTGGTTCTAGCTGAGTACTCCATGGTTCTGACCCTGTTCCCTCCCTATAACCCAGAAGTGTCCTGTTGCCCAGGTTCCACCATCTACCTTTGCTCTGGGTTTCCCCAGTTGCAATCCACAGACGGTCTAGGATAGTCAGGCTGCCTCCTGAAGGACGGTCTTTTTTGAAATGGCTCCTCATCATTTCTTCAGTAGAGTGCCTAGAAGGAAGGCTCTTCCTGGTGTGCCGGGGCCTCTCCTCCCTTGGCCAGTGCGGTGGACAACTTCTGTCTCCTTCTTCTCCTTCTCCTTCTCCTTCTCCTTCTCCTTCTCCTTCTCCTTCTCCTTCTTCTTCTTCTTCTCCTCCTCCTGCTCCTCCTTCTCCTCTTCCTCCTCTTCCTCCTCCTCCTGCTCCTCCTCCTCCTCCTCCTCCTCCTGCTCCTCCTCCTCCTGCTCCTCCTTCTCCTCTTCCTCCTCCTCCTCCTCCTGCTCCTCCTCCTGCTCCTCCTCCTGCTCCTCCTTCTCCTCTTCCTCCTCTTCCTCCTCCTGCTCCTCCTCCTGCTCCTCCTTCTCCTCTTCCTCCTCCTGCTCCTCCTCCTGCTCCTCCTTCTCCTCTTCCTCCTCTTCCTCCTCCTGCTCCTCCTCCTCCTCTTCCGGTATTCAAAATGTCTGTTAATGAACATGCGGTGCACATTTTCTGAAGTTCTCTGCCACGGCTCTTGACCTCTGGTGTTGTGTCGCCGCTGCCCTAGGAGGGAAGAGCTTTCGAATGCAGCAACTCCTCAGGGATGGGCTCCCGATTTTCTCCTGATTTATAGCTTCCCATTTTATTTTGCTATTTAAGCTGTTGATGCTTAGGTATCACACATCTCTTCTGACAGCCCTTCCTCGGTTTATTACCTGGAGACTCTAACAGACCCCTCTGCATGTGGCTCTTCGGCTTCCGTTCTCCTGTGCGATCTGCTGGTCCTCCTCCTGCCTCCGCCTCCCAGAGAGCTGACTCTACAGTGACGTGCTGCTGTGCCCAGCTTCTTCCCTTTTGGCCTTACAAAAGAATGCATAAAATATGTACAGACCATTTTTGTTCATGCTTTTAAGTTATTAATGGAAGAAAAGATATTTTATAAGATTACAGTAGTTCACATCAAGTTGGATATGATCTGGTTTTATAGTCCCCGAGCTCAATAGCAAACCTATAAAATAGACTCTGAAGGTTGTAAAGAGAAGCCTTTTTCTTATCAGCCACTTTGGTTTATCCCCCACCAGTATCCTGGGCTCTGCCGTGTTGTAGTCCCCAAATAACATACAAGACGCTGTATTAATTATGAAGCTGCTGGCCTTGCTTGTTTCTTACTGGCTAGCTCTGACTTAAGTATTTAACCCATCTAAGTATTTCTCTTACCGGAGAAAGGCGTCCGGACTTCTGACCCCTATGGTAGCTACATCTTGACTCCCAGTGTCTCTCCTACCCAGAGTCCTCCTCAACTCCTAGTCCCACCTATCTTGCTTCCCTATTGGCCAACAGTGCTTTATTGACATATACACAGGACTTCCCCCATGAGAAGGTTGTGTTCTCAATCTCAAAATTCTTTGGAAAATTCCTATGATTTTTTTTAAAGCAGGCTGCTTAAGTTCCTCTGCAGTAACCCTAATAGACCATATCAGTGAGGAGAACCTACCGCATCCAGTGCACTGGCAGCTAACAATGGGAATGACCTTTTGGAGACAGATGGCAAGCATTGGGGCTGTCACAGAAAGCCTTCTCATCTGCTCATCTAGACACTTCCTGTGAAGCATGCCTGGGACAAAACTCCTAGTCCAGGGACCAAGCCACAGCATAAGGCAGACTTCTGTCCTGCTATCGGAGACTCTATGGCAGACAGAAACAGTGTCTGTGTGTGCAACTAAGCAGGCAGTGCCCCAGGAGAAGGGAGAAAACAGAACCAGACTGTAAGGTCTCAGAATTTATTAAAAATTCATGGCATTTGGAAACCAGTATTAGGCACTCTTTTATAACAATGTTTTGTTTTAGTGACAGGACTCATTGTAGACTTTAATTGACATTCTGGATAATATAGACTCCAAACAGTCAGCAAACACGGAATATAAATGTTTCTATGTATATGAGTGAGTACGAATATAGCCTCTTTATGATTTCAACAAACAAAATTCCACTATGTGAAATCAAAGCATGTTCACAATAACGCATGGCTAAGACTCACCAGCAGGCCACGCATTAGTAAACACAGAGCCCGGCTTTCTGCCAGCCAGTCTTCTCTACACCAGCGAAATTCCAGTATTAATGTCATTGTAGTGGACACGCGGATATGAAGAAAGTAAACAAGACAGCATCCGCTCATAGTGGTGCTACAGGAGTCACAGACGCTAGCATGCAAAGACTAGAAGAGAAGGAAAGGCCACAAAGAAATGATGCTCCCCTAACTGTCCAAGAACCCCAGAAAAGTGTGCCCTGGTCCTGATGCAACTTTTAGAGACGTTTAAAAAAAAAGAATTTTCTGGTTAAAAAAAAATCTTCTTACTTGGAGGGGCCACTGAGCAGGCTCAGTGGGTAAAGGTACTTGCTGCCAAGTCAGATGCATTGACTTTGAGCCCAGTAACTCACATGATAGAAGGAGAGAACCAACTCCCCTAAGATGTTCTCCAACTTCCTCTAGCCTGCCATGATACACTCATGTGCACACATGTGCATGAGCACACACACACACACACACACACACACACACACAGAGATATGCATAAATAATTTTTAAATGGCTCTGTCTGCTTGAGATAAGTAACCCGTGATCTGAAAATGTGACTTCCCACCGGTAGACTGAGCCACATGAAAGAAGTTCAACCTCTGGAAACAACGGGGACAAGGCCAAGCCATTGAGCTGGCCATTTGTCTAAGAGGCACAACAAAAACTGTGAGTGGCAACGCTTGGGAAACCTCCTGTAGTTGTGTTTACTCCTGGGGGAAAACGAGCCCGGACACCCCGCTCTCAAAAACAGTGGGAATGTTGAGTACTTGGTACGCCCCTGGTCCTGCTTTACACACACACACACACACACACACACACACACACACACACTTTTTTCCCATTGGAGGTCTGGTCTTAATTTGCATCCTTCCATAGCGAAGGACAAGTGGTTAATTTTAACAAAATAGCAAACACAAGAGTTGACTCGGGGATCCCTATGTTTCCAGTGGGTGTCAAAAGAAAATCTGGGACCCCCCTCTCAAGCTTGCATCTGCTGTCAAGAGTTGAGATGCTCTTGAGAACTCCCAAACTTCAGAGTAGGTGGCAGCAGAGACAGACAAGAGTATGAAAATGAAGGCTGCATTTTTGGTTGGATAATATAATCACTCTTCAAATTATTATTAAACTATAAAAATGATGATAGACATGCATAATGCATTTCCATACAATAGCATCAAAAGTTATTTTTCATATATGATCACATTTGATTGCTAGTACAAATGTTAAGCACTATGCAACAGAATAAACTAAAGAGAACCATTCTTACATATATGCTCATCATTTTTGCAGGTAATACTGGATGCCAAAGACTAAAAGTCAGCAGATTCCTTTATTAGAATGTGATAGTTGACTGGAATAGGATGCAAGTAGGGAGCCAAAATGTTCATGAATAATTAACAAAGTGAGTAGAACATGCCTTACTTACATTTCATAATCTTTTCCAACTATAATTTATGGAAATCTGTTAATTAAAAATAATTATTTTCTGGAATTGTAATTAGGAAGGACAAGAGTGGCTTGTTTTTGTATCAGGGCCAACTGTGGTTCTTACAAATAAACTCAGTAATACCAGACTCCTAATTCCTTGATTTCTATTCAATTTCACTAAACTAAATTTATGCTACCATGAGATATGGATTATCTCAACAGAAGCAAGTAATTTTCACATGCTTTTATATTCCAAGGCAAAAAGAGGGACAAGGAGAAGAGAATTTAAAAGACAACCTTGGGAAGTAAAGCAAAGTAATAAAAAAAAGCTATGTTTATAGGTGTGTCACATAAAACAACAACAAAAACATCCTTCATGGCCAGTCGGTAACATACTTGCTGTCCAGACATGAAGACCTGACTTCAGGTCCCCTGAGCCCACAGAAAGATGCTGGTGTGGCATCACAGCCTTTATACCAGCACTGAGGGTAGCAGAGGCAGGTGGATTCACTGGCCAGACAGTCCAGCTGATGTACAAGCTCCGGGTTCAGTGAGAAACGCTGTCCCAAACACTAAGTGGGGAGGACAGAAAAAGACCCCCATTGCTAGCCTTGGCCATGCACATGGACATTGTACATGTCCACACTGGCGAGTTCATGCACTCCCCTCCCTTACCCTCCCCTCTCTTCCACTCCCCATCATCCATCCATCTCTCAACTTCTCTCAAAGTCTATAAGCCTGAATAGACTGAGACTCTGAAAGGTAAGTTTCCTTAAACTCAGAATTCAACGACAGAGCTATGCCCATCTTGAGTTTCGGGCATGCACACCAAGACGTGTCTAACTAACTGCTTTTCTTTTTGACCTGAATATGTCTTTGTTATGCATTTCTCTCCCACTCTTACATAAATCTCTCACCAACTGCCTTATTTACCATTCTTTCTAATCATCATGGGGCATGATTTTAAAAAAATGGTGACATCAGAACAAGAGCACCATAGGAAAGCCTAGATCCTCCTCCTGCTACAAAGATGCAGCCGTTCACACGGGGAGAGATAATGCAGAAACCAGGAGACCGGCTTCTACACTCTGGGATTTTAACACCAGTAAAGATAGAACCATCCACACCGCAACCTCTCCCCAAGCACAGCACAACAAAACTGGAATAGAGCAGCCAGCTAAAGCATCTCTAGCCTAGGGAAGGATATGGACATCTAAATTCAGGAAGCCCACAGGATTCAAAAGTCTGTACAAATAAATCCACACCATGGTACACTACGTGTAAATGGCCAAGCCAGCAAATTCTGAAAGCAATGAGAAGAATCCCTTGTGATGTACAAGGTGGGAACCAGGAGACTAGTGAGAGTCAGGAAACTAGTGAGTGAGAGTCAGGAGACTAGTGAGTGAGTGTCAGGAGACTAGTGAGTGAGTGCCAGGAGACTAGTGAGTGAGAGTCAGGAGACTAGTGAGTGTCAGGAGACTAGTGAGTGAGAGTCAGGAGACTAGTGAGTGAGAGTCAGGAGACTAGTGAGTGTCAGGAGACTAGTGAGTGTCAGGAGACTAGTGAGTGAGAGTCAGGAGACTAGTGAGTGAGAGTCAGGAGACTAGTGAGTGAGAGTCAGGAGACTAGTCAGTGAATGTCAGGAGACTAGTGAGTGAGAGTCAGGAGACTAGTGAGTGAGAGTCAGGAGACTAGTGAGTGAGAGTCAGGAGACTAGTGAGAGTCAGGAGACTAGTCAGTGAATGTCAGGAGACTAGTCAGTGAATGTCAGGAAACTAGTGAGTGAGAGTCAGGAGACTAGTGAGTGAGTGCCAGGAGACTAGTCAGTGAATGTCAGGAGACTAGTGAATGAGAGTCAGGAGACTAGTGAGTGAGAGTCAGGAGACTAGTGAGTGAGTGTCAGGAGACTAGTGAGAGTCAGGAGACTAGTGAGTGAGAGTCAGGAGACTAGTGAGTGAGTGTCAGGAAACTAGTGAGTGAGAGTCAGGAGACTAGTGAGAGTCAGGAGACTCTTGTTACTGAATGAATCATAATATAAATATCTGTGTTTTCCAAAGGTCTTAGGCCACCCTTATGAAAGGGTCATACGACTCACGGGTTGAGAACCACTGCCCCATAGAAACCAACTGCAGATAAACAGAACAAAGCAGCAGGGGACCCTGTAATTTAAACATAAGCAGAGATGGGCAGGAAGCAAAGCTTCCTGAGGAAAAACGCATTATTTTTTTATCTCTAAAATATCGAGTAACCCTTTGACTAGTTAGTTTGAACTTTATGAAAAATCTCAAAATAGATGTAGAAGGACAGTTTCAGCCTTAAAATCTATAATTATTTTCTACAGACATAACAGATCTC